CAGACATCACACTCATTGACAAACACAATAAAATCACATACATTATAGACATAGCCATTCCAAACACTCACAATGTACAAAACACATGCACTGAAAAAATTAGCAAGTACACAGAACTCGCCCAGGAAATAAGGCATCTGTGGAGGATGGAAAGGGTGTTTATTCTCTTATTATGAAAGGGTGTTGTTCTCTCCTGTACAGGTGTGATACCATACACACTATACAAAAGCTTGGGAACATTACAATTGAATAGAAATACATACATCACACTACAGAAGGCCACTGTATTGAATACATGCCACATTGTTAGAAAATTCCTGAATACAGACACCGACACACTTATTTAATTTTAGTTTTTGGTTCCTATGCCTTGACTCTGGTCCGGCATAGCACACAGCCACCGATGTGAACCGAGTATAACCCACTAAACCCAACATAATAATAATAATAATCACAGAGTCCAAACGGTTAGGAGTTGAAAGTTGAAATGTGGTACAGTTTGGTATGTCATGAGAATGTACACTAAGAAGGGATTATCCGAAATTCTCCTCCACGGAAAGAGGGAGAAGGTTAAGAATTACCCTGAATTTGAATTCTATTGTACTATTTTAGATGCGGTTTTTCGCATTTTTGCGGGAAATCGATCATATTTTTAGACCCATCTAAAAATTCTCTAATTAGTCTCGGAAGAGGATGAACCTAATTCTTGCACCCAGTGAAAGATCGGCTATAATCTAATAATTTTAATCTTAGCTATCTTTACTTTTTGCCCGAGCAACGCCGGGATCATTTGCTAGTAGTATATAACTTAAACACGCGTTCAAATTATTTACGTGTATAATTAAAAAAATAAGGCCGTGTGGAGTTACCTCCACAAGTATATATCAAAGTGGAACAAGTTTCCATTCTAAATCCTCCCGGGAGATGCTGCTATGCTACGCCCTTTTTCGGTATGTAGCCAGAATCCTCTATGTCAAAATTTGCATTTGTTCCAAATTGCTGAGGTCAACCTCTAAGGGTGCGACTATGCAGACGCGAATTTAGAGCGAGCGAGAGGTTGTTAGCGATTTAGTTTTCGCAAAGGAAAACCATGCACAAACGAGAAGCGAGAAATAACGCTGGCGAGAGCGAATTTCTGGTTCTCGCATATATCTGACAGGTTTTGATATTTATCGCTTCTCGACTCTTCTCGCCACATATTCTCGCTCGCTTGGAATATTCGCTCGCTCGCGTCTGCATAGTCGCACCCTAATGGACTGTCCATCGCTGTACTTATTTTCTCTGTGGCTTCGAACAATCCAGAAGACGTCGCATTGATGGGTTAGTTAGGGCCTATCTACTTTCCTGTCAATCTTCATCCAAGTATAATGTAAGCAGAGACGAATTACCCAATAGGAACATTAGGCGCGCGCCTAGGGCCTCGTCGTCTCGACGAGCCTCAAAATTACACAGTAGAATGACATGCTTCTCAAACTTTAATTAACATTTAAAATGAATACGTTTCGCACCCTGGTAAGAACAGTAACATGACATAAATTGACGATTTTATTGTCTTTTTAATATATAAAACACTTCTACAAAAAATTCTTATAAAAAATTGTGCCTAGGACCTTAAGGGAACTTTCCGCTACTGACTGCTTTACATTCGGGAAAGATAAACAACAGGGGAAAGTGCCTTTATCAGACAATATTACTTAGTTACCTTAAAATTGCTTTATTTACCTAGCCTTACCTAATTGAAATTTTGCCATATGCGTTATTACATTTATTTTTTATGTTAAATTAAAGTAACAAAACTTGATTGCTTCGTTATCAAATAGGTGCTGCAGCACCATAAGCACCCCATTGGATACGCCCAATTTACGGTGTTTTGATTAATTTTCTATATTTTAATTAAATTTTTGACAATGAAAAATGAAGTAATAATAACAATGAACATTTATTATGCAATATTGTAGCGCTTTATTGTTGAATTCAAGACATTAACTTCTGTTCACATAGAAGAGGTTTGATTCAAAAACAAATGGGAAATTTGCTTTCAAAATAGTAAGCAAATCCTTCGATTCATTTCATTCTCTTCGAAGAATCAAAGAAATTTCAATAATTTTCAGATCGACTACCCAAGTTAAAGATGCGGAATCCGTTTGGTAAGTTCCGATTTTGTTTCAAATTTTGAAATTTGTTACGTTTAAACACAGATATTTAAATTTCAGCTGAAGGAAGATATATCAGAAATTGCCATTGAACTTCACCATGATTTCAAAGAGACGTAATAGAACACGTAATAGGCGCATTGTAATTTGAGTGGTAAGATTCTGAAGTAGCTCAGAGATGAGAGGATCCTAGCATTGTCGACTCCCTCTGTACCAAAAAAGTCAAATAACCATAATTAGAAACGTAACCTTTCACGAATTATACGTCGGACTCCAAAAAGGGCACAGGGATTGACAATCATGAAAGTCCTCTATCTCACTCAAAGCTGTGTACTATTTAAGATTCCGTAAATTATGAACGAAATTTATAACTCAATATAGTAAACATTTATTGCTATTTTATCGTCCAAATATTGTTTTGTAAGGATCCTAAAAACAAAGCTGAGAAACGATCCACAAGAAATTTGTGACGTTGAAGCTCCTGTTTCGAGTGTAACTGAAATAAAACAAATATCACCAAGGGATACATCGCAAGAACCTCTAAAAATAGAAGGAAAGTTGTGAATACTATTCAAGGTTCCGTAAGTTATGAATTATTAATGAAATTTATACTTCGACACAATAAATTCTTTTTAAATTCTGCGTTTAAAATTTGGTATTTTAGAAAGAAAATGAGATTTAATGATACGAGAAATTGCATCAACATGAAAACAAATTAACTAGAACTAAAATTTGTTGCATAATTAATTATTCGTAAAAAATATCAATTTTGAATTTATTTTCGATTAGTTTGCGAAATTCTTTTTGTTGATGTAATAAAATAATATTAAACAATATTTGTACGGTATTTTTATTTCTAAAATTATATTTATAAATTCTAAATAAATACTCGTTGCATGAAAAATAATATTTTTATAACATTTAATGGCTTAACATGCTTAACGCTTAAGAAATAACAATTACTATTCAGGTAATTATTCCAGATTAACTAGGTCCATTCACACTGTAAGTGTATCGTTCAATGTGTAGCATTGAACGATACACATTAAACGACACAATGAAAGAGATCACTTGGAGAGATCTCTTTCATTGTGAGATTCTAAACAATAAGAAAAACCTAATGTTTCCCGAAGTTAACCTTTAAAATATGGGCCCCCGTTCAGTACGGATCAATTTTTACTTTCCCAGCTGTTATATATAACAGGACTTAGGACATCCTTAAAACGTCGAAAAATGAAAAAAAAAAAAAAAAATCGGGAGGGGTAATTTCCGAATGTATGGATGTTATGTGTGTGTATGTGTTTGTGTGTGGCACGATTTTGTTCCGATTCTGAAGCATAATAACTCCTGTGCAATTTTGTCGAAAATTTCTGAAATTTTGCAGGGAGGCTTGATTATTAGGGGAAGTGTTGCTATTAAATTTTGGTGGTTAAAGGTCGAGGGGGATAGGAGATAATGGGGGTCGTATGTATCTCCAGTAGGGTCGGACTTAATGACGATTTTACTCGTTATTAACATTTACAAATTTTTTTATAAAACCTATCCCTACCCTCAAAGTTAAGCTTTTTGCCATTTTGTAATAGTTAAAAATATAAAAAGTTTTTAAAATAAAATATGACAACAGACGGCGTTACCAAACATTTTAAATGTTACCGGGAAAGATGAGCAACTCGCTGCTGGTTTATTTAAAATTGATCCCTTCTGAATGTAGAAAACGATCGCTCATTTCTTTTCAGCAACTTATCTCTTTAGTCACAGGAGATGTAAAATATGAAAACATAAATATACGTGGAGGTTATATACTTAAGAACGTATTACACCTCCACATGAGCGTACTCACGTACTCCTATGAATATTTATATACGTAAATATGCCCAATAATTTTAGGGAAATTTTCACTTTTTTGAAATCATAGAAAATTAATTTATAGTGCTCATAGTGCCATTAGATTTACTTTCACATGATTTTTCAAAGATTTCACTTCACGAAACAGCGAACACCGTAATTAAATGTTGATCGATTGAAAAAGAAGGAATGCTTTTTTTAAGTTTGACTTATGAACTTTATTTTTGCTAATTCTTCATCACCGTACCATTGACAACAGCAATGGATTACCCAATAGACTCACTAGGCGCGCGTGTAGGCCTGGTCATCCGGAAGAGCCCCAAAAATTGCATAGCAAAACGACAATATGCTTCTAAAAATTTAGTGAATGCTTAAAAAGTGTATATTTTCCACCCCGACAAGAATAGTGACATAATTCGTAAACCGATGATTTTATTGTGTTTTTAATATAAAACATTTAGGCTACATAAAGGGCCTTATAACAAAATTGCGCCTAGGGCCTCAAAGAAACATAATTCACCATTGAAGGTAAGTATAATAAATCTACATGTCCTTAACACAAAACACAGAACAAAGGTACTACAAATAACATTGAACACACAAAATTATGAGCCCTCACAAGAGGACTACAGTGAATTTATGGGGATAGTCTAAACACATCATTACATAACCTAGACTTTTTATTGCTCTCAGAGCGGAATCAGATCTATGATTCAATGCGATCTTCTCTTAAAAGAAAGAAAGAAAGAATTTATGAAAATAAAATTAAAAGGATAATATACCTTGAGACCTTCAAAACCGATAGTTATTACGCCCTTCATGACTTGATTTTCATCAGTTTGATTGTCGAAACTTTTAAAATGATGTCTCATTTTCCAGACACCCACAAATATAAATACTCCAGCAGGCGCATAAATCCAATATTTTGAATATTCTAAACAATAAACAAAAGATAGGATGATTGGATCATAAAAATATTAAAATTTCTTTAATTATAAAATCTCACTAACCTTTTAATAAATTCATTTTTCTTAAATTATTCGAAACAATTGTTAATATCGAATCCAATCCATCATTTTGTTGTGCTGCAGTGAATGAGTACAAACAAGTTAACAGTTGTCGGAAGCTCAGAAAAGACTAGAGATAAAAATAAACTCGTGCTATTTATAATTATTGTACGTTGTTACACGTAGAGAATAATAATAAAAATATTTTATAGACTCAGTTTTTCAAGTTATACCTCAACTTTTATTCCTGTTGAATAATCGAACACTATTACACATTTTACGTAATTTATATCGTAACGTTTCAACGAGCTTTGATTATATCTAATGCTTTGATTTTATCTATTTTCGTGATATAATAATAATAATTTATTAAAAAATTAATTTTGGTAAATTCTACGTAGGTGATTAATATTTATGTAAATTAATTTCTATCGTCGAACCACCTTATTTTTGAAACCAAAATTTACATTGGTCTATTTTTAATTTTTAATACTCGTATACTAAAGACGATACTATTTACTCACACATATAAAAAATTAACTTTGTCAAAGAACAATTTTCTGTCAAACGTATTTTTAATATCAATATATACATCAAGTGTTACCCAAAAACAGAATTAGAAGAAATTAGATACAAACTTTTTTAATTTTTTATTGTTATTATTTTTCGCGTAGGAACGATCGTATTTAAATTGTTTAAAAATGTCAATTTAATCCTTGAACGTTGCTTTACATACGCGTATATAACATCTAGCAAGTCAATTGTTTGTTTAAATTAATTAATGACGTTATAGATTAAACGGTTTCACATTTATTGTAAAAATTGATTCCATTTTTTTAAATAACTAAATTAAAGAAATTTACTGATGGCTGTGATAGTTCACCAAATGAAAATCCTGAATATAAAGCATTATTGTATAATTATGCTCATTTTTACTTTGGTTACTGAAACTTCCTAAATTTGGATTTTTTTTTATTTCCTTATAATCCACCCTGTTAAATATTGCAATCCATAATTTTTTAATTCACGTAATGGATTTTCTTCTACATTTTCCTCAGATAACTCACATAAATCATTTATACTGCATAAATTTTCAGATATTCCTTGTTCTTAGAATTAGACATATCTGAAACTTCTTGCAGTAAATATGCCTCTTCAAACATTTCATTTATTAAGTAATTTTCAGAAATCTTATCTTCGGTGTTTAATTTATTTTGTAATATTCACCAGGTGATTTACCTATAATTATCATTCTCATTCTATATATTACTCCAAGCGGACTAGGGCGATCACATAAACTACCTGTAGTTCGAATTTGAGAAAATAATTTCTTTAGAAAGGATTCTTTAGGAAAATAATTAAATTTAGTTTATATGCATAACTTCCCTCATTTAGGAACATTATCATCTCTTGATGACACTTTTGAAGATTTACTTTACATAATATAAAGTTTTATAAAGTTTGTGAGAATGGTTCTCTTCATCATCTAATTTTAAATTTATAAAAATGTTTACTCTGATGTTCCTGTTTGCAGTTCCTATAATGCAATGCATGCGAATATAGAAAACTAAATAGGCTATATTCTTATTTTAAGAAATAACTCCAACTTTATTCTCTAATTTTGTATTTCGAAACTAAACAAATTTATCCTCGTACTATATCATACAAACCATTGTAAAGTAGATTATTTTTCCGACTTTCTAGAACGATTATCGACACAACTGTGTCGGAAATAGCCGTTCCNATAAAGTTTTATAAAGTTTGTGAGAATGGTTCTCTTCATCATCTAATTTTAAATTTATAAAAATGTTTACTCTGATGTTCCTGTTTGCAGTTCCTATAATGCAATGCATGCGAATATAGAAAACTAAATAGGCTATATTCTTATTTTAAGAAATAACTCCAACTTTATTCTCTAATTTTGTATTTCGAAACTAAACAAATTTATCCTCGTACTATATCATACAAACCATTGTAAAGTAGATTATTTTTCCGACTTTCTAGAACGATTATCGACACAACTGTGTCGGAAATAGCCGTTCCCTAAAGCTTAGTTCACACTGAGCGAATAGCGAAAGCGAAACGCAAAAAAAAGTGATTTTTATTCGCTTAGCGAAATTAACCCTACAACCAAAAGGGAAAAGCGATTGCGAATTTTTAAGCAGCCAATCATTTACAAGCGAGTGAAAACGTCATCTCGAAAAACAAAATGGCCGCTTCCGATATTCCGTCGTTAACCACATTTGTTTATTTATTGAGAAAGAAGAATAAGTAAAAAAGAAAACGATGTTGGGTGAGAGAAATATTAAAATCCGTAATTACAACATGTAATATATTGTGTGAGAAAGTTTCTCTAGCCATCTTGAAAACAAGAACCACGTGACAACTAGCGTGAATACGATTGGTGCGAAATTTTTTCGCCAGCGAAAAAACTCGACAGCTCCGAACTTTGAAGCGATTCGCGAAATGGTAAAATTTGCCGGAAACGACGTCATGTCTGACGTGTTATTCGCTTTCGGTAGCGAATCGCGTTCAGTGTGAACTAAGCTTAACGGGTACTTTACGCAGATTCGCGTTAGTGTGCCAGGCCTGGACTTTAAGCGTGCACCGAATTAAATGACGACAAAGTTTGTCAATAATAAATCAAATCAAATATTTAATAAATATTCTGATAATAACTATATACAAAATTTAGTAAAAATCAAGTAACAATTTATTCAATGAAAATCAATAAGAATCAACCCCACAAAACTCAAATCAAATCTATTTTTCTAACTTAATTCTATTCCCCTTTGGAATTCGACAAAATTCAAAGACTTAACTTATGTACAATAATTCTTATAAATTAAAGGTCCTAATCGTCACCTCAATATACTAGGAACCCTTTTCCTCAACTCTCAAGACTTTCTCTTCGATCCACAAATCGAATAACTTCAAATTCGCCTTGGAATTATTTTATCCTATCGGACACCTCTCTCTCGTTTGCTGCTACGAAGCTCACCAGGTTCGCTACCGTGTTTCCCCGAAAATAAGACAGTGTCTTATATTAATTTTTGCTCTGAAAAGTGCGCTAGGCCTTATTTTCAGGGGAGGTCTTATTTTTCCAGGAGGAAGAATTCACATTTATTATTGAACAAAAAAATTCCCAAGTCGAACTTAGACGAGAGTGACGTATATCCGATGTGTCGAACTGTCGCCTTTTTATAGCGTCAACATCGGACTCGATGACCAATTAGTGCTTACTGAACCGTAGCACTATGCAAATGTCATGTGGTGTGATTCCCGGCCAACCAATTAGCCATCACCAGCCGTAACGTTATGCATGTGATTCCCAAGCCATAGTCTTATGCAAATCATGCCGTGTGGCGT